ATCTCAAAAATCCACAAAGACTGAGCCAGACTCGATGTTCTGAGAGACTCATGCAGCTTCCATCTGCATGTTGCTCCTGGAAGGTGATGGTGAGGGCTGCGAGTAGCAGCTCCACCTTCCCTCTGCCTCCGGTTTCCCTCCTGCAAACAGCCTCTGACCATTTCTGATCCTCCTCCACCAACTCCAGCCAGGCTCTAACACAGAAATGAACCTGGCTGCCTGAGGGGAAAGTAGGAGCTTAGAGGGAGCTCAGGCTGGCATGCCAGGAATTAAGCAGTCTTCCTTCCTGCCCACTGAACGTCTCCTATAAAAGGGTGCCCTTGCACCTGCATTCTCTGCTCTTTCAGCAAATGTGGGGCTGAGATCCATATGCACATTGAGACAATGACTCATTTTTGGTATAATCACAACAGCAGCCATAGAGGAATTTCCTTCTCTGCCTGTCTTAAATTTGGAATGCAGTCCCACAGCACTGATTCATCCTGGTGACAGTCTGTTCCCTGTGAATGTCTCGTCAAACCACACTATGCTCAAAACTAGGATTCCTAAAAAAGGCTGTTTGTCTTTGTTTTTCTTTTTGCATACATACATGTATATAAGACGGATGTCAGGGTAGTCCACTGATTCACATTTCCGTTGGGCTACATGATCATGAACATACCCAAGAGAGTATATTCATGTTGTGACATGTTCCCTCCTTGGAAAAATCCAAAGTCCTATTTTGTTTTCCTTAAAATAAGAATAAATTAAAATAACTTCCTTACTTTTTATGGTGCTAAAGTATTTTTGATTAAGGGCCGCATCCTGATTGCCAGCCTATAGATCTCTCACTTGCTCATGTGTTCTATCTGACCAGTCATAGCATATGCTGGGTTGTATGTTATATGTGCACACCATGCATGAATGTATTTCTGTGGCTAGTCATGTCTACTACAAACTGTCTGCCAATCTGGATTATTTATATATTGCCCTTTATGATCAAATCACAGGATAGTGTACAAAGTGCTTTGAAAGTACAGTTAAAATAAAATGCAAAGATAACACAACAGCAAACAGTCTCCCAAGCTAGGTATTAATATAAATTACACTATGAATCAGCCTATGACTGAGCAACCTAAATGAAATAACAGTAATGTTCCTTCTTAGCTGGAATCTCTCTCCAGCCCTTGGTATGGAATATCCATTAGACTTTGGGGCTGTAACAAATACCAGCTTGTTAGCACAGAGGAAGGAAGAGGAGTCTGGAGCCAGTTTTGCAGTCTGCATTTAAAGATAGATGTCGGCCAGATAGTTAGGAGGGTTTTGTGCCTTTATAGCCTTGGGGGATGGAAACAAAGGCTCTTTGGAATTTGAGGCAAGAGCAGACAGTGCAACCTGCTGCAGGAGCCTATTTACTTCCAACACAGTTGACCTGCATATTTATAAATAAAGCAATGATTACAAAGGCCTCATAAGACTCCTTTTCATCTATATGAAACTGAAGCACAGTCATGGAACTGTTAAGCGTTAGGGAAGCAAGACGCATGTAATACTGTTCTCGGTGACTCTGGCCACTTGCACGGTGTGCAGCAATCCTCTGCAGTGCAAAGAGTCCTTTCGGGATACCTTCTCATTGCAAGGTTCCTGTTGCTCTGCTCCCTTGGATTTTGGAAGTGCCGAAAGGGTTGGCTCTGGTATGAAGAACTCCTCTCATTCAGATAGCTGTGAAAGGCAGTAATTGACTCAGGGAATCGCAGTACTTCCTTACCCACTAATTTCACCACCCACAAGCTCCAGTACAGCTGAAGCCTTCTGTCTGTCAGGGCCACATAGTTTCCCTGCATTGTTTTAAATCTTATTTTTGCATCTCGGGCAGGGGGTTCTCTGGTTGCCAGCATCTAGCGGATGCCTCTCCTCCAGATCATGATCTCTGTGGCAATTACTTTTCCGTGTAAAGCAATGCTGACACATCAGGGGAGTGTTGCATGTATTTTTAGCCTCTTTAATGTGATTTAGCAGCTGGAAATGAGGGGGGAATTATAGTCAAAAGGTAACAACTGTGGGATCTCATGGCTGGAGAGGAGGGGGCAGATGGGCTTCAGCTGTGCAGATTAGCATCACAACATGCCTTCTTGGCAAAGTCAGCCTGGGTAAGAATAAGCGCAGGAGTGGAGTGTCCAATGAGACATCGGCTAGGTTGACTCTAACTTCCAACAAGAGGGGCAGGGGAGCAGCTTGTGGGGATGGCTCCTCTGCAAGGGCCCTATTCCTCCACCCCTCCCATGGGTCCATTCAGAGGCGTTGTTAGAGGGTGGCCCACCAGGGCTGGAGCCCCAGATCTCTGGAAGGCCTTCTGCCCCACCAATCTGCGCTCTACGAGCAGGTGCTGCAACAAGGGTAAGCAACTCTTACCTGCATCTGAGCCACGTGGAGCAGGTGGCCCTTTGCCCACCAGCGCTTCATCTCCCCTTGAATCCTTCTGCCTGAGGAAATCAAATACCCTCTTTTCCCCTGTCCCTACAGCCCCCTTTATGAATAGAGGTGTCCTTAGGAGACCGGCCCCTTAAGGACCCACTCGCAGAGACTTAGGGCATATATAAATTAGCATATGTAATAACCGGCATTTTTTGTGCCCTGTGGGCCTGAGCAACAGATCTTTTCAGTACCCAGTACCATCTGTTTCCACTTGCTGATGCACAAAGTCGTGTGTGCTTAAAAAGAATCGAACTCAGCAAGGTTAAGATGGCTGGTTCCCTCTTGGGTCAAGTTTCATATGGGACTGTAGCACAGGGGACCATTAAATGTCCTTCCCCATGTGCCATGGTCCTCATCCTGATCAGCAACCAAACTTTCCCCACCCCAGTAGCTGCAGTTGTAAAAACAAGACTGATCCCTTAAATGCAACTGGACATTTAACATAATGTATAGTTTGACTGTAAGGAATCTTCCAGTAATAGTGCAGAGGCTCAGTGCTACAATAGGCTTAGGATCCTCCCAGCTGGCCCTATGGTTCAAACATCTTGCTTTGGACAGCACCTTTGCAGGATAACTCCAGAGTATGTGATTTTAGCCTTGCAGTCCTTGCCTCAAGCTAGCAAACCATCTCTTGCTTTTGGTTGCAAAAAACGGACGCCCTTCCTGAAAGTGTAGAGTACAGGGACTAGCAACTTTTCATCCTCCAGACATTGACATTTTAGTCAACAACTCCCAGCAGTGCTAACCAGCATAACCAATGGTGGAAAATGATAGAAGCTGCAGGAGAAAACATCTGGAGGGCTACCAGTTCCCACTCTGGCACAGAGTGACAGCATCCAATTCTAGGCAGGTTTCCCCACTGCTATGATAAAAGAGAAGGGCTGGGCTTTTACAGTGCATTTGGAAGCACCTTGGATGCTAATGGCTCCAGTTAAGATGCATAGAGATATGGGATGGATTTATTACAGTTTAAATTAGAAAACATTTGTGATATGCCAAGCTGTTGTTTAGATGGGCTGTATACACATGTGCTTTGCCTGTTTTCTGAAATGTCTTCCTTCCTGCCCTAATCGTAAGTCCTCCTGAATCCCCACTTACATTTTCAATAGTTGCTACTTCTCTTTGTTCATTTAATCATCACCCTTTGTTATTCTTCATTCTCTGCTCTTGTTTTATAGCCTCTGCTAAATTGGGCTGATGGGCAGATCTGTCAAGGTAGAGGGGCAGACACATTGATTTGTTAGCTGATCATAACAGGGGTAATGTAATAGTACAGTTACATCTTTCCCCATAAGCCATTAATTAACAAAATATAATATCCTCTCGGTATAGCAAGGACAGAAACTCTCTAGCATAGGTTATTAAAGTTTAATGAATGAAGCTTAGCACAAATTGCACTGTGCATCTGTACTTCATATTGTTTGTTATTAGAAAACACGGTTAGTGGCAAGAGTGATTTATGACCCTCACAACAACTTTGTGGATTGGGCTGCTATTACCCTCATTTTACAGATGGTGTATTGGGTTTACAACTGAATGATGGCTTGAAACACACAGCCACCCACTTAAAGTCTGAAGACCATCTATTAGCACTCACTGAGCTCTACTGATTGCATTTGTTTTTCAAATGTCACACAGGGATTTCCGTATGTTATCACATACCTTTGTTCTTGGATAAGTTTCAAGAAGTCTTAAAAATCAAAAACCTGGAAGACAAGATCAGTCACACCAAAGGACAACAACTGATGTGAACCACACTTGAACCTGGAGCTTGTGAGCACATGCATTGAAATGATAGAAAAAGCAATTTCCAGTTTATACATAAACTACCCTCTTGCACTCTTCCCCTCCCTCCCTCCAGAATATCCCTAGGCAAATTCCCCCCTCCATCCACTTAGAATTAGGGATATTGGCTTCTCTTTGATGCTTGATGTCACTACATATTTGCTTCCTGTGTTTTCAGTTGTTTTGTACTCATTTTCTCTAAACATTATATTTATAGCCCACTTTTTTTCCTGCACGGAACCCAAAGAGGCTCACATAATCCCGTTCTTCTCTCTTTTGTCCTCACAACAACCTTGTGAAGTAGGTCAGGCTGAAAGTTAGTTACTAATCCAAGTGAGCTTCATGACCAAGTGGGAAGTAGAACTTGGATCTCCCAGGTCCCTGTTCAGCACTTGAACTACACAGGCACTCATCCTTGCTTTCCACCGGAGTCTCAGGTATTATTCTGATAATTATTTTTCATTGTACAGGAATTACTGTAGTCTCCCTCTGGCCAGAGCACCTCCCAGAATGTTTCTAATGGAAAACAATAAAAAATGAAAGTCATATCGCTAACTGGACAAAAACTTAGTTTCCACTGCACATGTTTTTTTAACAACTGCGGAGAAATGTGTCCAGCTGCATATTAAAGCAAATTTACCTGAGTCAGTGGAGCTACACCCAAAGTAAGTGGCCGCTGAAACATCCTGGCAGGGTGCAGCCTTCCCCGCCTGCCTCATTTTAGTTTGGAAGGCCAAGTCCAGCGGCAGGATGTGTGTAATCCAGGCCGTGCTTTATCGCTGCACTCGCAGCAGCGGAACGCGTTTGTGCCCTCGCTCCCTTCACTTCTAAAGCGTGGGTAGGCGCAGCTGCGGAGCAAATCCAGACCGGATTTTGCCTCCTCCTCAGCAGCACAGCCAGAGACTCCCGGGCTCCTTGCCTCTAGTGGGGTGTTCAAATCGCAGCGAGGGAAGGAAGGGCCAGCTGAGGGGCTGCAGGAGGAGATTACGGAATGGAGCCTGATCCGATGTAGCCGGTGATCGGGGCTACATGCAGCAAAGATGGTGAGTCGCCGCCGGGTGCCCCTGGCTTCAGGGAAGCCTGGTGGAGTCCCGCTTCGAGAGGGATCTGTCCAGTCGGCTGCTGCCTCTTTGTTCTCAGCCCCTTCTGGGACAGTAGCGCCTGGTCGCCCCTTTCCCCCATTCGGGTTATTTGAATTCATTCCACGTGGTTTCCCGCCTGTCTCTGAAGGCAGCCTCCAGCGTCCTCCGCGGCAGAAGGGACCCCGCGGGGGCGACAGCGGTCGCGGGGGGGGGGGATCCCTGCTGGCATATGGGGCCGGTCTTTAGGACTGCGGAGGGAGAGGAGATGAAGGGGTCGAGGCACTTCGAGCTGGGGAGACCTGCCTGGTTTTGTTCATGCTCCCCCGTCGCCTCCGCGGCTTGAGCGGCGGTGCTAAAAGGGCTGCTCGGCAGCGGGTTTTCAGCCCGCGGAGGCGAAGAGCGATCCGGTGGCTTGAGCGAGTTTTGAGTCGCGGACGGGGGCGCGGGGGGGGGGGGGGAGGAGGTGCGTCCTTTTATTTGCGAGGGAGACCCCTGTTTAGAACTGGGCAGTGAAGGTTGTGCGCAGGAAGAAATTCGGGTTTTTCGTGTGCTGGAAATTAGGGTCGGCATAATAATTGGATTACGCTCTGAATGTCTCTTCGTGCAGGGTTTGCTTCCCAGATAACTTTATGTTGTGACATTCATTTCGAGATTATTTTTTGCCTAGCTGTAGATCTGGCTAAACCGGAACACATTATACTTTTGATGTGTGCGTGTGTGTGTGCACGATTTACCCACTACGTCGGACAAGTAGAATATGGCAAGAGGAGATGGTGGCATCAAATATTTTCTGCCAAAATAGTTTACAATTTTGTCTAGATGAACTGACCCCCAACTTCTTTGGCCACCCTCCTGGTTGGTGACAGGGTTGTCCATTTATATTAATGAATATAAAATATAATAATAATTCATGGATAGCTATTGTGCTGTCACATCAGACAGCACTAAAGAGCAGTGAGGGAGCACATTGACTTTTCTTTTTGTTTAATTCATATTTTCATATGAGTTGCATGTTGAGGTCTACATCAGCAATTGTGAACGCAAATCCAAGATGTTGCAGTTATTCTGGATAAACTGAATCAGGAAAATGGCAGCATGATCTTGAGTATGTCCTCTCTTACACCTATTCTAGTTCCACTATTCATTATCCTTTTTTTCTCCACTTCTCGGAAGGAGAGAAGCCACAAGAAGCCATGAAAATAAGCCTTCCCTAACCTGGTGCCCTCCAGATGTTTTGAATATAACCCTTAACATTCCTGCCCATTAGACTTTGGCTGTTGGGCAGTATAGAAATGTAATAAATAAATAAGCCATGGTGGCTGGAGCAGGTGGGAAGTCCAGACATATGGAGGGCACCAGGTTAGGGAAGGCCAATCAAGACCATGATTTGATTCTGCCTGGTTTCCCTGCCTTGCAAGGACAAAGAATCCCACTTGGGGCTTCTAATATGTGTAATCAATGAATGCAGGCTACATATCAGGATTGTTGGCCAGAATGAACTGAATGAAGCCAGCACAAGAGGTTGCTTTCTTCTGCTAAGAATGTAACTCCATTGTTGTAAGAGACCACCCTGGAGTGGTTTGAACCATCCCAAGCGCATATTCTGCCCCCCGCCCCATAGGAGGGCACCATACACTTGAATATGGTGTGATACAAACTGAGCCAGTGGTTGAATACTTCATCTTTTTATTGGGATCCCTGTCAAAAGTTACCCTCAGAGCTTTGCCTTTTTAAAAAATTCGTTGTGATCTGGGAAGTGCGAGCTTTCATCAGTGAAAGGCCTTTCAATTCGTTTCAGCTGATAGTATCTGACAAACATTCTGTCAACTTGTCCAAACCACACTGCCTGGGAGAAAAAACTAAGCAGAGTCTCCTCAGCGTATTGCAGATACCTGTCTCCAGATCCTCACAAGAGCCACACATGCATGTTGGAGAGGAGAAGGGACAAGATGGAACCCTGGAGGATTCCACAGAGAATATCCAGAATAAATTAGACACGTCCACCACTACCTCTGGGACCGTTTTGCCAGTGACAGAACCATTCACAGACAATCCATCAAATACATGCCAGACCCCAAAGTCTCAATGCCTTTATCCTATTATCAGTGGCATCTATCAAGTCTTTGGTTAGAGAGGCAGAAAAATTAACCTACTGGGCACAAGCTCGCCTACCTGTGGATCTAGGTACACAAAGCAGAATACAGTTTGCTAGAAACAGTAAGTGGGTGGGCTTCAAAAATAGCTTGAGATGATTCATTTTTGCAAGACTAGCTAGGCACTGCAGGGGAACACAAAAGCCCCCAGGCTCACTGATCGCTGAGGGAAATTCCCAACCTCTAATCGAACACTGAAAAAATCCAACAAGATCAACGTTGCACAAGTTCTTTGGTTGAGTTCCAGGCGTACATCATCAAGCAGTGCCACAAGCAAAATATAACCCAGATCAGAAGAGTGCGTATTTATGTTTTCATTACTGCAAATCATTCACCTTTGAGGGCTCAGATCAGGCTACCTCCTTCAATCGGTTTACCAGGTAGTCTTATCTGAAGTGTGCAGAAATATCAAACAAACATTAAAGGTTGCACTGAGGTTTCTTTGATCCTCTGTCTTGGCAAAGGAATCCAAGTTAGGCTTGTGGATTGTAAATTCAAACTCATAAGAACTTTATGAAGCTTGGACTTGTATTTGTACCTCTCCACTTGTACCAGAAATTACAGACACAGCAAGGTAGCTTACCACATCTATTTGTTCTGGCTTTCTCACTTTCCATAACCAGATGTGTTACACAGCATCAGACTTTAAGTACTGTGCAGACTTAAACTGATCACACTTTCCCCCTTCAAGAAAAGGGTTTTGTCTGCAGAAAAAGGCTGTGCTCATCGTGTCTGGATCAGGACAATTTTGATATCTGAAATTATATTACACAAATTAAGTACCATATGAAAATGGGTTTATTTTGAAAATTATTTCCATTTTGTGAATTTTGCCCTAACTCAAGTTTTGGTATTTTGCAAAACAATGAATGTGTTGAATTTTGTATTTTACAAAATGTTGAAGGAATAGTGTTGGCAGGAAGAAAGATGGACAACAGAGGCTGAGTGGAAAAAAGGCTCAATTCACCCCTGCCACTTCCTGGTGGTAGTCCTTTTGCATATTGCTCATAATCTGTCAAATATGTTTCCATCAAGATATGCTAGAAAGATCTTCTAAAAGAAAAACTGCAATTCTGAAGAATCTAAATTCTGCCTCCAAAACCAGATTCCATCTGCATGTTTTGGTGTAGGTGAAAACTTTGAGAAGGACGTTAGTTGCCTATCCATGCAGTAAAAGATAGTTTTGTTTAAACTCCAAAGGCAAAAAGCACAATTTTGTGTTCCTTTTGAAGCAAGTCCTCTTGATCTCAACTAGCCTTACTCCCAGGAAGGTGGGTGTAGGACTGCAGCCTTATAACACTTTATGAGGCTTTGGTGTGTACATGTCTGGCTTTCATAATTGAACATTCTCTGTGGACTACTTAGCAATTTTCCTTCTTCATTATTTTCTTGCTTAGCAATGTAGATCAGGGGTGGATAGACAGTGGACCTGGATTGACTGGTAGATTTCTGGCTGATTTGCAGTAGGTCAACAAGTATTTTTGATTTCCAGATGTTTGACAATAGCATCAAGAAAATTAATTCTCCTCACCCTGCTGTAATGAAAAGAAAAAGAAATGCCTTGGGTTAATCAGGAATGGATCTCTGTGTGGAAAGACAATGGACTCCATTCAACATGTCAAAGCAAATTCCTGGGCTCAGAATTCTTTAATTCCATGCACCAAATCACACTTTTCCATGATTCTTTGGCATCAAACTTCCATTGGTGAATCTCAGGTTTGTAGCAAAGAGCAAATTCCTGACATCTATCTGTTCATGAAGTATTAAAGACACACTCTGATGCATGGGGCATGTTGGGGGTTGAAGGCCTTTTTTAATTTCAACCTGCATAACATTGTGCCCTTAAGTACCTGAAAGATTTCATACTGTCATTTTCTCTGCCGCCCTGTTGTTCTGAATAGTACAGGTTGGGAAAGCTGGACTGGAATTCTGGAAAATTCTAGTCATAGGGAATAAGAATTTTGCCATAGCTTCAAGTCACTTTAGAACAAACCATTTGTATGTGTGGGCCCCTTTGGGTTTTTTTGCACCACAGTTGAGGTCATGAGTGGTCATGCATTGTCCTCATGGCGATGAATCACATTTGGATGTCTGTGGATTCTGGCTAGTGGGTGAGCTCTGTATTAAGAAGCATTAAGTCTCTTTCTGAAAGAGTTCATCTGTGGAGAGCCAAGTCTGAGAATACTCATACTCAAAGGAATGTCTGAGTATTGCTTCTAAGCATGAACGCTCCAAACATAATCAGCCCTACCTGCCTGGGGGTTGCACAAATGGCTTCCTGTGAAATTGCTATTATTAGATTTAGAAGGATACAGGAAACTCTAGTGACTTGTTCCTTGTTTTCACTGTATGATGCCTCAGCTTCTTTGGAGAGGAAATCATACAGTTCACATGGGTAGTGCACAGAATTAGACTCTTTTCAGAATGCTGGCCTTGTTTGACAGTGTCTGGCTGGAGAACTTTGCCAGAGGGAGACATTCTTACCAGTCTCACTTTGGCACTGTGATCCACATGCACCTGTGCTCTGTACATCCATATAATGGATGTTGTGCTTTTTCCTACACAAAAGCATTTTCTGCTTAGGAAATGCATATTGTGTGAAGGCTCTCTTGGAGCAGGTTCAGGGGACATGCTACCCTAGAAATGGTCCAGAAATTTCAGTTGGTCCAAAATGGAGCAGTGAAGTTGTTAACAAGGCCGACCAGTTTTATCATATTATGCCAGTGCTTTATGATATGTACTGGTTGCCAATGTTGAGGATAAAAAAGTCCCTCTTGTTTGTTGTCTGACCATGAGAAATTTGGTCAT